AGATGGTTGTTCCGAGCTGCGAAGGGTTCAGAGACTTCATAACAGGCACCATGACGATGGGAGGACCAAGAGTAGTAGTAGCAGTGATATATAACCCACCACCAAATGATAGAAGACCCAGGCAAGAGTATGACAGAAACAACATGGCAGTTAACATTATCATTGATAATGATAATGCAGCCGCTGCTGCCTGTAGAAATCGATCCCGTCTGCTTATCATGGGGGGACTTTAATCACGGAAGGATAGACTGGGAAAACAGGGAACCACATGGAGGAGAGGAAACAGGGAGAGCGAAACTGCTAGAGATGACGACTAGAATCTTTTTAAGTCAGTATGTCAAGGGTCCCACGAGAATGAGAGGCAATGATGAACCAGCAAGACTCGATCTAGTCTTCACTCTGAATGATTCAGACATAAGAGAAATCGGTCTTGAAGCCCCCGTGGGTATGAGTGATCACAGTGTACTGTTGTTTGAGTATCTGGTCGAAGAAGGGTCAATGTACTCAAGGGAGGGACCAGAAAGCAAGAGGCCGGCATCCGGAAGGGAAACTATGAGGAGATGAGAAAATTCCTAACTGAAATAGCTTGCGAAACAGAGCTCAAAGGAAAGACGGCTCAAAACATGATGGACTACTTCACACAGAAGTGTAAGGAGGCAGCAGACAAGTTCGTCCCAGTCCAAAAGGACAAAAATTGAAATGGAGATGAGAAACCCGTGGTTTAATCAGAGTTGTAAGCAAGGAAAGCAACCAAATAAAAGGGCGTGGAGAAACTATAGAAACAACATAACACTAAAGAGCAGAGAAAGATACCAGAGCGCCAGGAATGAATACGTCAGGGTGAGAAGAGAGGTAGAAAAGCAATATGAAAATGACATAGCAAGCAAGGCAAAGACTCAACCCAAATTGCTGCGTAGCCACATCAGGAGGAAAACAACAGTGAAGGCACAGGTAATGAAACTGAGGATAGGGGCAGAAAGATTCACTACAAATAACAAGGAAGTGTGCGAGGAACTCAATAAGAAATTCCCGGAAGTTTTTACCTCAGAGCAAGGAGAAATCCCAGAGATAAGGGAGGGAACATCAAACCAGACACGTCACTAGAGGAGTTTGTGATTACCAGTGTGGAGGTGAGGAAGTATCTGCTAGATTTGGACGTGACAAAGGCTATAGGCCCGGATGGAATCTCACCATGGATTCTAAAGTAAGGAGCAGAAGCTCTGCGCCTACCACTCTCCATTGTGTACAACAAGTCACCGGTAACAGGTGAACTGCCAAAATTTTGGAAGACGGCCAATGTAGTCCCAATATACAAGAAGGGTGATAGGCAGGAGGCACTGAACTACCGGCCAGTGTCCCTAACTTGCATTCCATGCAAGATGATGGAAAGGATTGTGCAAAAAAAGCTAGTGGAACATCTGAAGCGGAAGAACTTTGTAACACAACATCAGCATGGGTTCAGAGATGGCAAATCATGCCTAACAGGATTAATTGAGTTCTATGACCAGGCAACAAAAATCAGGCAAGAGAGAGAAAGGGCTGGGCAGACTGCATATTCCTGGACTGCCAAAAAGCTTTTGACACAGTACCACATAAGAGACTAGTGCACAAACTGGAGATGCAGGCAGGAGTGAAAGGGAAGGTACTCCACTGGATAAGAGAGTACCTAAGCAACAGAACACAGCGAGTCACCGTGATAGGTGAGGTCTCGGAGTGGAGGGGAGTCACCAGTGGTGTCCCACAGGGATCAGTCCTTGGACCTATACTGTTTCTGATATTCGTAAATGATCTCCCAAAAGGAATTGACTCGTTCTTCTCGATGTTTGCTGATGATGCAAAAATTATGAGGAGGATCAAGACAGAGGAGGATAGTATGAGGCTACAAGATGACCTAGACAAACTGAAGGAATGGTCCGACAAATGGTTACTAAAGTTCAACCCAAGTAAATGTAAGGTAATGAAACTAGGAGGAGGAATTAGGAGGCCAGTCACTGGATACTGAATGAGAGATGAAGTCCTTCACGAAACGGACAGAGAGAAAGATCTAGCAGTTGATATCACGCCAAACCTGTCTCCCGAAGCCCACATCAAAAGAATAACATCAGCGGCCTATGCGAAACTGGCTAACATCAGAACTGCTTTCAGAAACCTGCGTAAGGAATCCTTCAGAACCTTGTATACCACATATGTAAGGCCAATCCTGGAGTATGCAGCCCCAGTATGGAGCCCATATCTAGTCAAGCACAAGACGAAGCTGGAAGAAGTCTCTAGTCCCAGAACTATGAGGCATGAGTTATGAGGACAGACTACGTGAACTGCACCTCACGTCGCTGGAAGACAGAAGAGCTAGGGGAGACATGATCACCACATACAAAATTCTCAGGGGAATTGACAACGTAGACAAGGATGGATTATTTAACTCGGGTGGTACACGCACAAGGGGACACAAGTGGAAGCTGAGTATCCAAATGAGCCACAGAGACATTAGAAAGAACTTTTCAGTGTCAGAGAAGTTAATAAATGGAATGCACTAGGAAGTGATGTGGTGGAGGCTGACTCCATACACAGCTTCAAATGTAAATATGACCTGTGTAAGGAATCGTTTAGAATCTTGTACACCACATACGTAAGACCAATCCTGGAGTATGCGGCCCCAGCATGGAGCCCGCACCTTGTCAAGCACAAGACGAAGCTGGAAAAAGTTCAGAGGTATGCCACTAGACTGGTCCCAGAACTAAGAGGCATGAGTTACGAGGAAAGACTGCGGGAAACGCACCTTACGACACTGGAAGACAGAAGAGTGAGGGAGACATGATCACTACCTACAAAATCCTCGGGGGAATTGACAGGGTAGACAAGGATAAACTATTCAACACTGGCGGTACGCGAACAAGGGGACACAGGTGGAAACTGAGTACCCAAATGAGCCACAGGGACGTTAGAAACACTTTTTCAGTGTCAGAGTAGTTAACAGGTGGAATGCATTAGGCAGAGATGTGGTGGAGGTTGACTCCATACACAGTTTTAAATGTAGATATGATAGAACCCAGTAGGCTCAGGAATCTGTACACCTGTTGATTGATAGTTGAGAGGCGGGCCCAAAGAGCCAAAGCTCAACCCCCGCAAGCACAATTAGGTGAGTACACACACACACACACACACACACACACACACACACACAGTGAGGGGTGAGACCTCAGGTTGACGTGAAGTCACCAGTGGAGTCCCACAGGGCTCTGTACTTGGACCTATCCTGTTTCTGATATACGTAAATGATCTCCTAGAGTTTTATCCCTCTCAATGTTTGCTGAGGATGCCAAAATTATGAGAAGGATTAAGACAGAGGAGGACTGCTTGAGGCTTCAAGAAGACCTGGGGACAAACTGAAGCAATGGTTGAACTAATGGTTGTTAGAGTTTAACCCAAGCAAATGTAATGTAATGAAGATAAGTGTAGGGAGCAGGAGGCCAGATACAATGTATTATTTGGGAGATGAAATTCTTCAAGAGTCTGAGAGAGAGAGAAAGACTTGGGGGTTGATATTACGCTAAACCTGTCCCCTGAAGCCCATATCAAGAGGATAACATCAGCGGCATATGCCAGGTTGGCCAACATAAGAACGGCCACATTTAGAAACTTGTGTAAGGAATCATTCAGAACTTCGTATACCACATATGTCAGACCAATTCAGGAGTATGCAGCTCCAGCATGGAGTCCATATCTAGTCAAGCATAAGACTAAACTGGAAAAGGTTCACAGGTTTGCCACCTGCCTAGTACCCGAACTGAGAGGCATGAGCTACGAGGAGAGACTACGGGAATTAAACCTCACGTCGCTGGAAGACAGAAGAGTTAGGGGGGACATGATCACCACATACAAGATTCTCATATGAATTGAGAGGGTAGATAAAGACAGGCTATTTAACTCAAGGGCACACACATTAGGGGAACACAGGTGGAAATTGAGTGCCCAAATATCCCACAGAGATACTATAAAGAACTTTGTTAGTGTCAGAGTGGTTGACAAATGGAATGCATTAGGAAGTGATGTGGTGGAGGCTGACTCCATACACAGTTACAAGTGTAGATATGATAGAGTCCAGTAGGTTCAGGAACCTGTACATCAGTTGATTGACAGTTGATAGGCGGGACCAAAGAGCCAGAGCTCAATCCTCGCAAGCACAACTAGGTGAGTACACACACACTCTCACTCACACTCTCACTCACTCTCTCTCTCACTCACTCTTACACTTTCCCTCACTCACATGCTTAAGAAGAGTGATCCAAGCAGGAAGCAAGCAACGGAGAAAAGAGTTCAGTAATCATAAAGGCAAGTCAGGCGATGGTTGACTGCTCCGGACGTAGCACTAAAACACAGAAGCGAGGCAGCAAACAAACCACCTCGACACTTACACACTCAACCAATTATGGCAACGACAAAACATTTGCTGCATTTTCGACGAAAACACAAACAGAAGGTTAAACGCAAACACGCGAACTGATCGAGATGAACTGGGTCGAAGCGTCGATTAGTTTTTTCTATTTTTGTAACTATTTACCGTCACTAGACGAGGGCAAAGTATCAAATGAACAGAAAATATGCACATTTTAAGCAAAAATATTCAACATAAAATTGTCACACCACCTTTATGTTATGTTAATTGCTCTGATTTAATGTGAGAGGGTTGTTAAATAACGTGAAACAAACACTGGTTAAATAACTTGAGATCCTGCGTAAATAATTGATAATTACAATGCTTCAGTACCATAAAAAAAAATTGTACAATCTCTCCAGACGAAAGAATCTTCAATTTCCGGAAAGGTGTTGATGGTTACACCGCCCCATCACCATCAGGCGGGTGGGGGGGGGGCTGCAGGTGGATGGGGAAGCCAGGGGGAGGGGGGGGAGGCGGGCCAGGTGGGGGCCCAATACTTGCACCCATTACCTCTCCCCTCTACGTGGGAGAGGTAGTGAGAGGCATTGTTGGTGAGTTAGAACGTGGGAGAGACAATGGATGGGAGTGGAAAGATGCTGATAATGAGAGATAAAACAAGATAGAGGAAGCTTTATAAGAAGATGTCACCAGACGCCAGACAACAGTGCCAAGATGTGCTCTTCTGTCACCACCTTGTTACTGGTTACTGCTGCTGCGCTCACTGGTAAGTCTCTCAACCTCCTCACCTGTACACCTGCCCTGCCTGTTAGCACTCCTCACCTGTACACCTGCCCTGCCTGTTAGCACTCCTCACCTGTACACCTGCCCTGCCTGTTAGCACTCCTCACCTGTACACCTGCCCTGCCTGTTAGCACTCCTCACCTGTACACCTGCCCTGTCTGTTAGCACTCCTCACCTGTACACCTGCCCTGCCTGTTAGCACTCCTCACCTGTACACCTGCCCTGCCTGTTAGCACTCCTCACCTGTACACCTGCCCTGCCTGTTAGCACTCCTCACCTGTACACCTGCCCTGCCTGTTAGCACTCCTCACCTGTACACCTGCCCTGCCTGTTAGCACTCCTCACCTGTACACCTGCCCTGCCTGTTAGCACTCCTCACCTGTACACCTGCCCTGCCTGTTAGCACTCCTCACCTGTACACCTGCCCTGCCTGTTAGCACTCCTCACCTGTACACCTGCCCTGCCTGTTAGCACTCCTCACCTGTACACCTGCCCTGCCTGTTAGCACTCCTCACCTGTACACCTGCCCTGCCTGTTAGCACTCCTCACCTGTACACCTGCCCTGCCTGTTAGCACTCCTCACCTGTACACCTGCCCTGTCTGTTAGCACTCCTCACCTGTACACCTGCCCTGCCTGTTAGCACTCCTCACCTGTACACCTGCCCTGTCTGTTAGCACTCCTCACCTGTACACCTGCCCTGTCTGTTAGCACTCCTCACCTGTACACCTGCCCTGTCTGTTAGCACTCCTCACCTGTACACCTGCCCTGTCTGTTAGCACTCCTCACCTGTACACCTGCCCTGTCTGTTAGCACTCCTCATCTGTACACCTGCCCTGTCTGTTAGCACTCCTCACCTGTACACCTGCCCTGCCTGTTAGCACTCCTCACCTGTACACCTGCCCTGTCTGTTAGCACTCCTCACCTGTACACCTGCCCTGCCTGTTAGCACTCCTCACCTGTACACCTGCCCTGCCTGTTAGCACTCCTCACCTGTACACCTGCCCTGCCTGTAAGCCAGGTTCACCTGTACACCTGCCCTGCCTGTAAGCACTCCTCACCTGTACACCTGCCCTGCCTGTAAGCACTCCTCACCTGTACACCTGCCCTGCCTGTAAGCACTCCTCACCTGTACACCTGCCCTGTCTGTTAGCACTCCTCACCTGTACACCTGCCCTGTCTGTAAGCACTCCTCACCTGTACACCTGCCCTGCCTGTAAGCACTCCTCACCTGTACACCTGCCCTGCCTGTAAGCACTCCTCACCTGTACACCTGCCCTGCCTGTAAGCACTCCTCACCTGTACACCTGCCCTGCCTGTAAGCACTCCTCACCTGTACACCTGCCCTGTCTGTTAGCACTCCTCACCTGTACACCTGCCCTGTCTGTTAGCACTCCTCACCTGTACACCTGCCCTGCCTGTAAGCACTCCTCACCTGTACACCTGCCCTGTCTGTTAGCACTCCTCACCTGTACACCTGCCCTGCCTGTAAGCACTCCTCACCTGTACACCTGCCCTGCCTGTTAGCACTCCTCACCTGTACACCTGCCCTGTCTGTTAGCACTCCTCACCTGTACACCTGCCCTGCCTGTAAGCCAGGTTCACCTGTACACCTGCCCTGCCTGTTAGCACTCCTCACCTGTACACCTGCCCTGCCTGTAAGCACTCCTCACCTGTACACCTGCCCTGCCTGTAAGCACTCCTCACCTGTACACCTGCCCTGCCTGTAAGCACTCCTCACCTGTACACCTGCCCTGTCTGTTAGCACTCCTCACCTGTACACCTGCCCTGTCTGTAAGCACTCCTCACCTGTACACCTGCCCTGCCTGTAAGCACTCCTCACCTGTACACCTGCCCTGCCTGTAAGCACTCCTCACCTGTACACCTGCCCTGCCTGTAAGCACTCCTCACCTGTGCACCTGCCCTGCCTGTAAGCACTCCTCACCTGTACACCTGCCCTGTCTGTTAGCACTCCTCACCTGTACACCTGCCCTGATTGTAAGCACTCCTCACCTGTACACCTGCCCTGTCTGTTAGCACTCCTCACCTGTACACCTGCCCTGCCTGTAAGCACTCCTCACCTGTACACCTGCCCTGTCTATTAGCACTCCTCACCTGTACACCTGCCCTGCCTGTAAGCACTCCTCACCTGTACACCTGCCCTGTCTGTTAGCACTCCTCACCTGTACACCTGCCCTGCCTGTAAGCACTCCTCACCTGTACACCTGCCCTGCCTGTAAGCACTCCTCACCTGTACACCTGCCCTGTCTGTAAGCACTCCTCACCTGTACGCCTGTCCTGCCTGTAAGCAAGTTTCACCTGTACTCCTGCCCTGCTTGTAAGCACTTCTCACCTGTACACCTGCCTGCCTGTAAGCACTCCTCACCTGTACACCTGCCCTGCCTGTTAGCACTCCTCACCTGTACACCTGCCCTGCCTGTAAGCACTTCTCACCTGTACACCTGCCCTGCCTGTAAGCACTCCTCACCTGTACACCTACCCTGCCTGTAAGCACTCCTCACCTGTACACCTGCCCTGTCTGTAAGCACTCCTCACCTGTACGCTTGTCCTGCCTGTAAGCAAGGTTCACCTGTACACCTGCCCTGCTTGTAAGCACTTCTCACCTGTACACCTGCCTGCCTGTAAGCACTCCTCACCTGTACACCTGCCCTGCCTGTAAGCAAGGTTCACCTGTACACCTGCCTGCCTGTAAGCACTTCTCACCTGTACACCTGCCTGCCTGTAAGCACTCCTCACCTGTACACCTGCCCTGCCTGTAAGCAAGGTTCACCTATACACCTGCCCTGCCTGTAAGCACTCCTCACCTGTACACCTGCCCTGTCTGTCAGCAAGGTTCACCTGTACACTTGCCCTGCCTGTAAGCACTCCTCACCTGTACACCTACCCTGTCTGTAAGCAATTTTTACCTGTACACCTGCCCTGCCTGTAAGCACTCCTCACCTGTACACCTGCCCTGCCTGTAAGCACTTCTCACCTGTACACCTGCCTGCCTGTAAGCACTTCTCACCTGTACACCTCCCTGCCTGTAAGCACTCCTCACCTGTACACCTGCCCTGCCTGTAAGCACTCCTCACCTGTACACTTGGCCTGCCTGTAAGCACTCCTCACCTGTACACCTGCCCTGCCTGTAAGCACTCCTCATCTGTACACCTGCCCTGCCTGTAAGCACTCCTCACCTGTACACCTGCCCTGCCTGTAAGCCAGGTTCACCTATACACCTGCCCTGCCTGTAAGCACTCCTCACCTGTACACCTGCTCTGCCTGTAAGCACTCCTCACCTGTACACCTGCTCTGCCTGTAAGCACTCCTCACCTGTACACCTGCCCTGCCTGTAAGCACTCCTCACCTGTACACTTGGCCTGCCTGTAAGCACTCCTCACCTGTACACCTGCCCTGTCTGTCAGCAAGGTTCACCTGTACACTTGCCCTGCCTGTAAGCAAGCCTCACCTGTACCCCTGGCCTGTCTGTAAGCACTCCTCACCTGTACCCCTGGCCTGTCTGTAAGCAAGCCTCACCTGTACACCTGCCCCACCTGTAAGCAATCCTCACCTGTATACCTGCCCCACCTGTAAACAAACCTTGCCTGTACACGTTCGCCACCTGTACACTTTATCCCCTCAACACATTCCCCTACTTAAACACCAATCTCCTTATATAACCTGTACCCAACCATAGAAAGTGAATTTAAGTTCTTTTTACAAGCTTCAATTTATCATTTCATGACATAAATATTACACATCTGTTGCATTACATAATCACTCCTGGCTTCAGAATACCATCACGTGTTCCAGTGCTCAGATAATCTGTACAGAGTTCTGCTTATCTCAGCTCAGGAGGTCGTAAGTCAGTCAGTCTGGGACATTCTGGAAGACAATGTTCAGGGAATTCAACGTTCCACTTCACGGTCCAGTTTAGCATGATGATATTGACGACTGACGTCACAAGTCGCCTCTCAATGGCTACATCATCAAATCACGTGACATATAGGATCTTCGTGATGACGGAAATGGCGTTTGGGCTGTACCGAGCGCCATCTTGCACTCTTATAAACTATATTAAAATATAGATAAATTCCAACACTAACTTTATTACAAATGTTTAGAAATGTAGGCAAGATGTTTAGAAATGTAGGCAAGATGTTTAGAAATGTAGACAAGATGTTTAGAAATGTAGGCAAGATGTTTAGAAATGTAGGCAAGATGTTTAGAAATGTAGGCAAGATGTTTAGAAATGTAGGCAAGATGTTTAGAAATGTAGGCAAGATGTTTAGAAATGTAGGCAAGATGTTTAGAAATGTAGGCAAGATGTTTAGAAATGTAGACAAGATGTTTAGAAATGTAGGCAAGATGTTTAGAAATGTAGGCAAGATGTTTAGAAATGTAGACAAGATGTTTAGAAATGTAGGCAAGATGTTTAGAAATGTAGGCAAGATGTTTAGAAATGTAGACAAGATGTTTAGAAATGTAGGCAAGATGTTTAGAAATGTAGACAAGATGTTTAGAAATGTAGGCAAGATGTTTAGAAATGTAGGCAAGATGTTTAGAAATGTAGACAAGATGTTTAGAAATGTAGGCAAGATGTTTAGAAATGTAGGCAAGATGTTTAGAAATGTAGGCAAGATGTTTAGAAATGTAGGCAAGATGTTTAGAAATGTAGGCAAGATGTTTAGAAATGTAGGCAAGATGTTTAGAAATGTAGGCAAGATGTTTAGAAATGTAGGCAAGATGTTTAGAAATGTAGGCAAGATGTTTAGAAATGTAGGCAAGATGTTTAGAAATGTAGGCAAGATGTTTAGAAATGTAGACAAGATGTTTAGAAATGTAGGCAAGATGTTTAGAAATGTAGGCAAGATGTTTAGAAATGTAGGCAAGATGTTTAGAAATGTAGGCAAGATGTTTAGAAATATACGCAAGGTGTTTAGAAATGTAGACATGCATACAATATACAATGGCAGTCCTTCAGCATAGTTGGTGGAGTGAATGACTCCAAAAAAGTTGAAATAATTGTTATTGCAGTTTCTTAACACCTGTACACCTATCACACCTGTACATCTGTCTTCCCCTTGTCTTACATGTAAACCTGTCCCACCTGTACACATGTACAACCTGTGCACCTGTCCCACATGTATACCTGTCCCATCTGTACACCTGTCCTACCTGTACACGAATCCCACCTGTACACATCCCAGCTGCAAAACCAGTTAACATAACACACATGCTTTCCTTCCCACATGTTGTGGTTAGTGAATAGCACATATATATTTTAATCATAAATACATATAATGCACATATTAATTTAAAAAATGAAGAGAGAGAAAGGTAGCGGGGGAGGGAGACAAAGAGAGAAGAGGAGGGAGGTAGAGAAAGAGTAGAGAGAGGGAGACGGGAATTATCAGGAGAAAGCGCCAAGCCATTACGACTATATAGCCCTTGGAAGGGGTCAAGAGATAAGGATTTGGGATGCGTCGGGGGGAGAGGGAGGAATGGTCTCCAACCACTTGGATGGTCGGGGATTGAACGCCAGCCTGCAGGAAGCGAGACCGTCGTTCTATCGTCAAGTCCAAGTGGTTGGGCAACAGAGGAGAGAGGGGAAGAGGAAGTAAAAGAACAAAAAGAGGAGAGAGAAATAGAGAGACACAGACACAGACAGAAAGCGAGAGAGAATGTGTACTCGCCTAATTATGTTTGCGGGGATTAAGCTTTAGGTCTTTGGTCCCGCCTCTCAACCGTCAATTAACTGGTGTACAGATTCCTGAGCCTATTGGGCTCTATCATATCTACATTTGAAACTGTGTATGGAGTCAGCCTCCACCACATCACTGCCTAATGCATTCCATTTGTTAACTACTCTGACACTGAACAAATTCATTCTAATGTGAGTGAGTGAGTGAGTGAGTGAGTGAGTGAGTGAGTGAGTGAGTGAGTGAGTGAGTGAGTGAGTGAGTGAGTGAGTGAGTGAGTGAGTGAGTGAGTGAGGTAGATACCATACAGATAATGGTGGTAATATTGACAGGTGCAGCCATGTGAGTGAGCCAGACTTGCATCACCTGGCGGTGAAGCAAGTCATGATAGGGCGATGACTGATATTTCTTAATCACTTGGGATATGAACGATATATATTATTAATAATTATTTTAAGAAAAAATATAAAAGTGAATAAGACATTTGTTTAAGCGAAATAGGTTTGAACACAGACTGGTAATTAATGTCATGATGAATATAATGGTCATCACATCACATGATGTGATAACCATCAATCTACGCATTAAATGGTCGATTTCATACGTTAGTTGAGAGGGAAACTTAATTACATTTATTCATCTTAATTCACGCTCCATTATAAAATATTTTCACCCAGTTTCTCATGTCACTCCTGCACTCTGAGCCCTTGACACTCAACCCACAGCCAATTCTCACCTCTCTCTCATCTCCACTCTCATCCATTAACATCTCGCTCATCCCTCTCTTTCCCCCTCGCATAATTATCTCCCTATCTTCCCCCATTTCTTGCCCCACCACCTATCATCCTACTCTCACCCCTCCTTCCTCCCCCAGCTGGGGTGAGGGCCGTCAACGTGACGAGCGTGATCACGGCGCCCCGGACGGTTTTGGTGGGGGAGAAGCTGTACCTTCCCTGCCAGGCGGAGGGCATCTTCCTCACGTGCGGCTGGGACTCTCCCCTGGTGAGCTGAGGCTGCTGAGACGCGTAACCTAGCGCTGAGGCTGGTGAGATGTGTGTGTGTGGCTAAGGCTGCAGAGACTTGTGAATGAGGCTGCTGAGACGTGTTGCTAAGGATGTGTGTGTGTGGCTGAGGCTGTTGAGACGCGAAGCTGCTGAGATTTGTGGCCGAGACCTGTAACTGAAACTGCTGAGACGTGTGCCTGAGGCTACTGAGACGTGTGCCTGAGGCTACTGAGACGTGTGCCTGAGGCTACTGAGACGTTTAACTAAAACTATTGAGGCGTGTGGTTGAAACATGTGGCTGAGGCTACCAGCTGCCCGTCGCACTGGAATGCATGTCTTCCAATTTATCTAGACGATCTGGACAACACTGGTATCTTATCTGTTCACAAGCAAGACTATCATGTTCCAGAATATTATAAATTACAAAAAACTAATCCATGCTTTTCTCTCCTCTCCCATTAATTTTTCTCTTCCTTTCTCCGCACGTGACTCCTTTTCCCTTTCCCTCTTTTTTATATTCTTATCTTTCTCTGTTGTTTCAACTTTCCTTTCTCCTACTTATCTTTCTCTCCTGACTCTCTCACCATCAGGACGAGATCATTTATCCAGAAGACCTGACGGACCCTGACGGGCCCATTGTGCCTTTCCCCGGGTTCAACTGTGGGATCATCGTCAACGAAGTCACTCTAGAGGACTCTGGACACTGGGCCTGCATCGCCACCGTCGAGGATGGCTTCGACGCTCAAGGGGGAGACGTCACCGTCAGACGTAAGTACTGTACGTTTGTGTATAACGTCCTATCGTACCTATGTATAACGCAAGAAGGCGACGTGCTGGCTGTAATGTGTGCGTTTGTCTATCTCTGTGTCTGTTTAAGCCCAGTTCTTTCTTGCTTAGTGTGTTGCATTCTATCTGAATTATTTGTAGTGTTTCACTTCCAAGTGTCAAACAGGATGGAGGATGTGACATCAACCCAGGTCACACTGTCTCGTAGCGTATAAATAATGTGAGTTGTAATTAAAGGTAATTATTTGGAGAAAGTGCTAAGCTATTATGACTATGTTGACCAAACCACACACTAGAAAATGAAGGGACGACGACGTTTCGGTCCGTCCTGGACCATTCTCAAGTCGACTGTGATATCGATTCCAGAATCAACGTATTTCAGTCACGTTATTGTGACTCTTCGTCTGCTATTATGACTATGTTACACTTGGAAGGGATACCTAAACCACAGTTTGTCAGAGGAATCAGAAATGTTATTTCTTATAATGAGGGAAGCTGCACGAGAGTTGTTATGATAAATGATAGGTCGAATCCTTGTGTTTTCATTGCAAGGTTTACAATACCTGTCAATTATATCCTGAACCCCCTTTTCATCCTTTTTATTGGCCTGAGTAAATTTATTTTTAAAATACACAACAATTATATGAAATCACAATGGCGTGATATACCAGAGAAAATTCTTTTTAAAGCAAGTTCCAGCACTATGTGTTAGAGTCTTCAACTCGTTGGTTTCGTGTTGGGCTTAATGCGTGTAAACCTCTGGAGAGTTATTAAGGCAATCACAGGTACTTACTGACCAGCCTGCAAGAATACTTTGGATCAAAAACATTGTCTATTCCCTAATCAAACTTTGAGTGTATTTACACTTAGAAGCGGAGTACACTTCCAAATGATATCCCTAGCCTACTTAAACTGGTAAATATATTAACACAGACCTACGTGTTACTGAGGACCTATGTGTCATCCACCATTGACTGAATCCAGCAGCCCGTCCTCATAAGGAAAGGCCCAAGTACATTCCATGCCCCCGCCAAACACCCTGTTTATGAATGAAAAACTGTTTACTCACGACTCAGAATTGATGATGTCCGAACAGTTCCCGAATAAGTGCTTCGCTGACGACTTTTGTTTGAACTACAACGCTGTAAATGCTATACCCACGTACTACAAATAATTGCCAACAGAACCTAAACTAACCAATACCTAAATATGCACAGTATGTTAATATATAACAATATTAATCTAGGCGACGCCGGCTAGGTCGAGAGGTGTCGGGTGTTGGCGGGTCTTGGTGGCCTCCCGGTGTGCCCTCGACCGTGGTGGGCGGCTGGCTTCTGCTCCGCAGGAGGGCACTGGATGACTTTGAGTTTAAGTTGGGGGCCGAGTTTCTGGTTTTGCTGCGTGGGGTGGTGAAGGTGCTTGTCACCCTGAGGGACTCTTGGGGCTCCCCAATCATCCACATGTGTATTTGCCGCTAGGCACATTAGTTTCCGCCGATAGGCGACATTCATTTCGCCATTAGGCTTTGCGGTTAACCCTTTACGGATACGCCGGGGTGCATCTGATCCCTCGATCGTCGCCGCCCCTAAATCAACAACAACAACAACAACACCCTACACTCCTAACAGGGAGACCTATGAGACACCTTAACTGAGAATGGGGGACAGAGTCGTCATATTCTTTGTCCTGACTTCATTTACGTGATACCATTTATGATGCTACTTTTTCACATACTGCAATTTCAACCATTTTATTTTCAGCAAATAATCTTGGTATGAACGAAAAAACGTATAGTTCTCTGTTACAGCCGTCCATACCGCCAGGTCATCAGTGCTCCAGCGTGACGCCCAGGTATACTCCAACGTAAACCCTCCCCATTTCCTCCCTTCCGCCTTAAAATATACCAGTATGCCAATATACTTAGCCACGTATGCTTGACCCAGCGGTGTCGTCGTGGCCGGGGGTGGTAGCCAACGTGTCGTCGCCCCTGGCAGGAGTGTGGGGAGAGTGGGGCGAAGTCCAACTCTGCCCGGCCAACGCCTTCGCTGTCTCCCTCGAACTCAAGGTAAATCAGTCATTTTTGTTACCGTGTAAAGTGTTAAAAACATACGGTTTCCATCACCATTTGCTAATATTATTAATTAAAAATGCAAAATATAACATACTATCATACAATATACTATTATGTAAACGTTTATCTAGATATGTTTCACCTCACAAACCATCTAGTTTGATCTCGGCTCTTGGGCCAGCACCTGCCCAGGCCACAGGAAGCAGAGGCAGGATAATACGACCGTATATAATGTTACAGAAATAGAGTATTCAAGAAACTGGAAAGATTGAAAGATTTTAAGGAATTATATTTTTATCGGCTAGGCTTATGGTTTTCCAATGTCGGGGGGCAGAAGGTCTGTTAGGCTTACTGAAGTCCGTCCTAGGCCAACTGTTCACTTTCCCAGTGATGTAACCCACAACAGTTGCCTTACTCCAGGGTTTTTCCTAACCACTTGAACTAGACGGCCTCGCTTCATGCAAGTCGCCGTTCAATCCCCGACCGTCCAAGTTGTTTGGCGCCATTCCTTTCCCCCGTCCCATCCCAAATCTCTATCCTGACCCCTTTCAAGTGCTATATAGTCCTAATGGCTCAGCGCTTTCTCCTCATAATTACCTTACTCCCGGGTTCGCCTATTTACTTTTATGTGAACAGTTAAATTAGGTGAAAGAAAACGTGCCCACACGTCTCTGTCCTGTCATGGAAGCTGAATCCGGATTCTTTTGTTGTGAACAGACTGCGATCACCAGGGAAAATATTATAACGAAGAAATTAATTAAAGTTGAATGACAAATATAAGAAGGGAGTAACACGTTGATGAATGAAGAGACTGATAGAGCAATGAATGCTGATGAATAAAGAGACAGATGGAACAATGAACGAAGAGAGAGAGATGGAGTAAATGAATGACTTCCTGAGTTACAGTTCAGAGTGCTTATGCATGAAATGTAAGTTTGAAACTGCGGTTGTGATAACATAAGTAATAATGACAACAATTATTTGTTGATATTATTTTAAGACTGAGAGCTGTATCGTACGGTGGAGTGTTAGAACACGTGTGACGTGGGATTTGATTGGGGAGTAGAGTTGAGGGATTGTTGATATATGGAACAAATTACCAGGTTACATTATAATGGTGGGAGCGTTGGATTGTTTCAAGCGAAGGTTACACACATTTACCTGAATTTATCTGAGGGCCACTAAAACTCTATTGACATCGACGAGTACAGGAAGCCAGCGGCTTGTCAAAGTTCTCCCCCCCCCGTTTGTCCTGATGATTTTTTTCGAGCTAGGTTTAATAGTTCAGCAGAGATCTGGTATTTACGACTCCGGCGGGTAGGCGGTTCCGTGGATTTATAACTCGTGGATGAAAAAACATGTTTTGAGTCTTTGCTTGGCTTGTTGAGCTTGAAACTGTTGCTCCTTGTTTGTGTTACATCTGACCTTTTAGAAGAAGTTGTCTGTATCAACAATATATGATAATATATATATATATATATATATATATATATATATATATATATATATATATATATATATATATATATATATATATATATATATATATATATATATATATATCCATTGTGAGAGTTTAAGAGAAATGGAATATGGAATGGTAAGGAATTAAGCTCGGAAAATTTCTAAAAAATGTTTTTAATTCTTTTAACCTTTATTCCTGTTGTGATATTCAATTAGGTCGCCTGAGGAAGGACTTCCTTAGCTAACACACCAGTGTAGTAAGCAGCTCATTCCTCACTCTGGGACCATTTATGAACAATTGACTTGGCACGAGCAAACGCAGAGACCCCAAAAAGTTGAAATCCCCTCCATTTAGGCCGTTGACCTTCGCCATTCGCCGAAGCGAATCTAGCGAGTAGGTCCTAGGCTCTCACAACAATAATTTATTGTTGTGTGGTGCCATATATTTAGTCCAAAACTCAAAAATCAGTCTCAATTTAATAGTCGAATGTGACAGTACACTTGCAGGGCAATATGAATGTGTGGGGTGTAACGAAAAGACAGTGTTCAACATAATAACTTAGTTTATTCAATAAAGTACTAACTACTACAACAAAAACAAAAGAAGTATCAATGATGTTACTCGAAATCCTTCCTGTGACACATTTAATGACAGCTAGACACCAGCCCCTCGGACTGCATAATGAACTAACTGGAACATAAGGCGTGAACACAGAGGAACCAATCAAGCAAGACAATCTAATCTCTAATCACAAATACAACAATTGACACGGTAGGCTATGAGAACCGTCTCCAATAACCTCCTATTCGTTCCCTATACTCCTTGCAGCCTACACCTGCAATAGCGGTTGCAATGCAATAAAATTAGTAGCCTGTCAATGACAGATCAATGACTAATGGGTTCACTGGCAACTGCAGCAACCCTTCCTCAAATTAATCTTTACGTTAACACGCCGTCCCACGGACGATCAACAATCAATAACAATTGATTTACGTTAATAACAAAGTAACATTTACGTTAATTTAATAAATCTTACAACTGTCACTAGTAACGCGGAAATTACATAACACGCTACCCGTCGAACATTCAGTCAGTAAATCCCATTAATCCCTGTACTTCCAGACAACTGATTAATCTCTTTACTAGTTACGTTTATTTACGTTATTTTACGTTATCGGTTACTATAATATATATATATATATATATATATATATATATATATATATATATATATATATATGTCGTACCTAGTAGCCAGAACGTGCTTCTCAGCCTACTATGCAAGGCCCGATTTGCCTAATAAGCCTAGATTTCATGAATTAATTGTTTTTCGACTACCTAAACTACCTAACCTAACCTAACCTAACTTTTTCGGCTACCTAACCTAACCTAACCTATAGAGATAGGTTAGGTTAGGTTAGGTAGGGTTGGTTAGGTTCGGTCATATATCTACGTTAATTTTAACTCGAATAAAAAAAAATTGACCTTATACATAACGAAATGGGTAGCTTTATCATTTCATAAGAAAAAAATTAGAGAAAATATACTAATTCAGGAAAACTTTGCTTATTAGGCAAATCGGGCCTTGCATAGTAGGCTGAGAAGTGCGTTCTGGCTACTAGGTACGACATATATATATATATATATATATATATATATATATATATATATATATATATATATATATATATATATATATATATATATATATAAAGTTTTGTTGGGTATAAATAGGAGCTGCTTCGCCTGGTCCAACAGGTCATCTGCATGTCCTTTATTCTTATTTTCTCGTGATCTTAAAAAGTTGCTAAGACTTATGCCATGGATATAAACGGTGAATGTTATCTAATATGATGCAGATTTCTCAAAGAAATCAGACCACCTGTGAGACGGAACCTCCTTGAGAAAAGCTCAAATGTATTAGTTATAATCTCAGAGTCCCCAGACTCAGTGGGGCCTCTATTGGCTTACGTCTATGTGTTTATGGATCACATATGTGAACCATAAACACTCAGTCATCATGTAGGTTATACCAACATACCGCCATGTATATACCAACATACCATCATATAGGTTATACCAACATACCATCATGTAGGTTATACCTACATATGTAACATAGAGCGGGCCACACATGCACTGGCTCAAAACTCCACAGATGGATTTTAGTATGAAGTTTTGCTTAAATGACATTAAATGTTTTGAAAGAATATATATATATATATATATATTTTATTAAATATGACCGAAAAAGTAAGATTAATAATTCTAACACGAATTTTCTCAATCTTTCGTACATTATGCTTCACTGTTGGAGGTAAATCAAAAATCACTTCTCCAAAATTCATTTTTATTTCTAGTCTGACGCGACACGGGCGCGTTTCGTAAAACTTATTACATTTTCAAAGACTTCACAAATACACAACTGATTAGAACTTGCGTTTCCCTGATTTTATATCTACATTTGAGTGAGGTGGGAAGGGTGATGTGGCATTACATTTGAGTGAGGTGGGAAGGATGATGTGGCATTAGAGGATATTAATAGGGTATTAAAAGTATCAACACAAGACAGAACACGAAACAATGGATATTGAATAGAAGTGTTTGTAGAAAGCCTATTGGTCCATATTTCTTGATGCTTCTATATTGGAGCGGAGTCTTGAGGTGGGTAGAATATAGTTGTGCAATAATTGGCTGTTGATTGCTGGTGTTGACTTCTTGATGTGTAGTGCCTCGCAAACGTCAAGCCGCCTGCTATCGCTGTATCTATCGATGATTTCTGTGTTGTTTACTAGGATTTCTCTGGCGATGGTTTGGTTATGGGAAGAGATTATATGTTCCTTAATGGAGCCCTGTTGTTTATGCATCGTTAAACGCCTAGAAAGAGATGTTGTTGTCTTGCCTATATACTGGGTTTTTTGGAGCTTACAGTCCCCAAGTGGGCATTTGAAGGCATAGACGACGTTAGTCTCTTTTAAAGCGTTCTGTTTCGTGTCTGGAGAGTTTCTCATGAGTAGGCTGGCCGTTTTTCTGGTTTTATAGTAAATCGTCAGTTGTATCCTCTGATTTTTGTCTGTAGGGATAACGTTTCTATTAACAATATCTTTCAGGACCCTTTCCTCTGTTTTATGAGCTGTGGAAAAGAAGTTCCTGTAAAATAGTCTAATAGGGGGTATAGGTGTTGTGTTAGTTGTCTCTTCGGAGGTTGCATGGCTTTTCACTTTCCTTCTTATGATGTCTTCGATGAAACCATTGGAGAAGCCGTTATTGACTAGAACCTGCCTTACCCTACATAGTTCTTCGTCGACTTGCTTCCATTCTGAGCTGTGGCTGAGAGCACGGTCGACGTATGCGTTAACAACACTCCTCTTGTACCTGTCAGGGCAGTCGCTGTTGGCATTTAGGCACATTCCTATGTTTGTTTCCTTTGTGTAGACTGCAGTGTGGAAACCTCCGCCCTTTTCCATGACTGTTACATCTAGAAAAGGCAGCTTCCCATCCTTTTCCGTCTCGTAAGTGAAACGCAGCACGGAACTCTGCTCAAATGCCTCCTTCAGCTCCTGCAGATGTCTGACATCAGGTACCTGTGTAAAAATGTCGTCAACATACCTGCAGTATATGGCCGGTTTCAAGTTCATGTCGACTAAGACTTTTTGCTCGATGGTACCCATGTAGAAGTTTGCAAACAGGACACCTAGGGGAGAACCCATAGCGACCCCATCTACTTGCTTATACATATGCCCATCCGGGCTCAAGAAGGGTGCCTCTTTAGTACAAGCTTGGAGTAGTTTCCTCAGAATACTTTCTGGCATGTCAAGAGGAGTACAGGAGTACATATAATCTCTTCCCATAACCAAACCATCGCCAGAGAAATCCTAGTAAACAACACAGAAATCATCGATAGATACAGCGATAGCAGGCGGCTTGACGTTTGCGAGGCACTACACATCAAGAAGTCAACACCAGCAATCAACAGCCAATTATTGCACAACTATATTCTACCCACCTCAAGACTCCGCTCCAATATAGAAGCATCAAGAAATATGGACCAATAGGCTTTCTACAAACACTTCTATTCAATATCCATTGTTTCGTGTTCTGTCTTGTGTTGATACTTTTAATACCCTATTAATATCCTCTAATGCCACATCATCCTTCCCACCTCACTCAAATGTAATGCCACATCACCCTTCCCACCTCACTCAAATGTAGATATAAAATCAGGGAAACGCAAGTTCTAATCAGTTGTGTATTTGTGAAGTCTTTGAAAATGTAATAAGTTTTACGAAACGCGCCCGTGTCGCGTCAGACTAGAAATAAAAATGAATTTTGGAGAAGTGATTTTTGATTTACCTCCAACAGTGAAGCATAATGTACGAAAGATTGAGAAAATTCGTGTTAGAATTATTAATCTTACTTTTTCGGTCATATTTAATAAAATATGTCTACAGGAAAGACTGCTACCAAAATATACTAATATATATATATATATATATATATATATATATATATATATATATATATATATATATATATATATATATATATATATATATATATATATGTCGTACCTAGTAGCCAGAACTCACTTCTCAGCCTACTATTCAAGGCCCGATTTGCCTAATAAGCCAAGTTTTCCTGAATTAATATATTTACTATAATTTTTTTCTTATGAAATGATAAAGCAACCCTTTTCTCTATGTATGAGGTCAATTTTTTTTTATTGGAGTTAAAATTAACGTAGATATATGACCGAACCTAACCAACCCTACCTAACCTAACCTAACCTATATTTATAGGTAAGGTTAGGTTAGGTAGCCAAAAAAAGCTAGGTTAGGTTAGGTTAGGTAGGTTAGGTAGACGAAAAAAAACATTAATTCATGAAAACTTGGCTTATTAGGCAAATCGGGCCTTGAATAGTAGGCTGAGAAGTGCGTTCTGGCTATTAGGTACGACATATATATATATATATATATATATATATATATATATATATATATATATATATATATATATATATATATATATATATATATATATATATATATATATATATATATATATATATATATATATATATATGTCGTACCTAGTAGCCAGAACTCACTTCTCAGCCTACTATTCAAGGCCCGATTTGCCTAATAAGCCAAGTTTTCCTAAATTAATATATTACTATAATTTTTTCTTATGAAATGATAAGGCAACCCTTTTCTCTATGTATGAGATCAATTTTTTTTTATTGGAGTTAAAATTAACGTAGATATATGACCGAACCTAACCAACCCTACCTAACCTAACCTAACCTATATATATAGGTAAGGTTAGGTTAGGTAGCCAAAAAAAGCTAGGTTAGGTTAGGTTAGGTAGGTTAGGTAGACGAAAAAACATTAATTCATGAAAACTTGGCTTATTAGGCAAATCGGGCCTTGAATAGTAGGCTGAGAAGTGCGTTCTGGCTATTAGGTACGACATATATATATATATATATATATATATATATATATATATATATATATATATATATATATATATGTCGTACCTAGTAGCCAGAACGTAATTCTCAGCCTACTATGCAAGGCCCGATTTACCTAATAAGCCAAGTTTTCCTGAATTAATATATTTTCTCTAATTTTTTTCTTATGAAATGATAAACCTACCCATTTCATTATGTATGAGGTCAATTTTTTTTAATTGGATTTAAAATTAACGTAGATATATGACAGAACCTAACCAACCCTACCTAACCTAACCTAATCTATCTTTATAGGTTAGGTTAGGTTAGGTAGCCGAAAAAGTTAGGTTAGGTTAGGTTAGGTAGGTTAGGTAGTCGAAAAACAATTAATTCATGAAAACTTGGCTTATTAGGCAAATCGGGCCTTGCATAGTAGGCTGAGAAGTGCGTTCTGGCTACTAGGTACGACATATATATATATATATATATATATATATATATATATATATATATATATATATATATATATGTCGTACCTAGTAGCCAGAACGTAATTCTCAGCCTACTATGCAAGGCCCGATTTACCTAATAAGCCAAGTTTTCCTGAATTAATATATTTTCTCTAATTTTTTTCTTATGAAATGATAAACCTACCCATTTCATTATGTATGAGGTCAATTTTTTTTAATTGGATTTAAAATTAACGTAGATATATGACAGAACCTAACCAACCCTACCTAACCTAACCTAATCTATCTTTATAGGTTAGGTTAGGTTAGGTAGCCGAAAAAGTTAGGTTAGGTTAGGTTAGGTAGGTTAGGTAGTCGAAAAACAATTAATTCATGAAAACTTGGCTTATTAGGCAAATCGGGCCTTGCATAGTAGGCTGAGAAGTGCGTTCTGGCTACTAGGTACGACATATATATATATATATATATATATATATATATATATATATATATATATATATATATATATATATATATATATATATATATATATATATATATATATACACAGTATCTATAAAAGCGAATCTGTTTGTCTGTTCGAGGTTGGAGAGCATGCGCCTGGGGCTTGCCTCATAAAACATTGCAGGGTGATTGGTCTTTGTCTGGGGATAGTCAGGTGGTTTGGGGGGTCGATCCCCTTGACAGGAAATAACAAATCATGCTAATTTTCATTCACGCTAAATAAAAGATTCCATCCTCACTAAAATTACTGGGATGAAGTGAATGTGGTGAGTATCGTGAAGGTGGTGAAGGGGAGGGAAGTTGGTGAATAGTAAGAAATGTGGTGAATGGTAGGGAAGGTAGTAAACGGTAAGGAAGGTGGTGAGTGAGTGATAGGAAAGAGGGGGGGGGGTAAGGACAGGGAAAATACGTAGTTAATCCAATTAGCTCGTTATCATACTTGGTTAATCCAGTAAGAATGCAATAAGAACCTTGTAATGAAGTAATTCAATTCGAGCTGTGGTAGACGGGCGGTTCCTGTGTTGTAATGTTAGTACCCGCGTGTGTGTCTCCCGCCAGTCCGAGGCGCCCACCACCGGGGACAACACGGCTGCCAATGGACTCCTCCTGCCGTGCCGGCAACAGGGAGGCGCGCTGCCCACCGCCATCACCAGCTCCATGGGCGACTTCGGTACTTGGAGAGGTACGTAGGCTTCTTCTCAGAGCAGGAGACAGTAGGCAACCATCAGTTACAAGTGACTATGGAGTTGCGCTCTGGTTGTCGGTCTGGAGTGGCCTCTCCAGGGCGCAAAGCCAGGGTGGGTTGATATGGAGGAGAAGCTGTCACCCAAGCAGCAGGTCCCCTATTTTTAGTTTAGGAAATAAAATTAGGGAAGGAGACAACGAAAGGAATTTTTGTTTAAAAATTCTCCTCACTGTAACTCTACTCTGAAATACTGTATCTATAATTAATGCCATACTCACGTGAACAGTCTCATTCAGTCTGTGGTTTTCTTCCACTCATCCATGGACGTAGGTCTACAGTACTGCCCAATTCCAGAGTACATCGACCAGTTTCAGTTAAGAGTGGAACCTGAGAATGCCTTTGACGACACGGCTGTCAACGACATCAAGTTCACCTGTACCCACTACCCTGAGGTAATGTGTCGGGTCGGGTCAGGTGTCCCCTGGTCAGGTCAACGGGTTTGCATGGTCATGTCAACGGGTCTGCTTGGTCAGGTCAACGGGTTTGCATGGTCAGGTCAATGGGTCTGCTTGGTCAGGTCAACGGGTCTGCTTGGTCAGGTCACCGGGTCTGCTTAGTCAGGCCAACGGGTTTGCATGGTCAGGTCAACGGGTCTGCTTGGTCAGGTCAACGGGTTTGCATGGTCATGTCAACGGGTCTGCTTGGTCAGGTCAACGGATCTGCATGGTCAGGTCAACGGGTCTGCTTGGTCAGGTCAACGGGTCTACTTGGTCAGGTCACCGGGTCTGCTTAGTCAGGCCAACGGGTTTGCATGGTCAGGTCAACGGGTCTGCTTGGTCAGGTCAACGGGTCTGCTTGGTCAGGTCAACGGGTCTGCTTGGTCAGGTCAACGGGTCTGCTTGGTCAGGTCAACGGGTCTGCTTGGAGAGGTCAATGGGTCTGGTTGGTCAGGTCAACGGATCTGCATGGTCAGGTCAACGGGTCTGCTTTTTCAGGTCAACGGGTCTGCTTGGTCAGGTCAATGGGTCTGCTTGGTCAGGTCAACGGGTCTGCTTGGTCAGGTCAATGGGTCTGCTTGGTCAGGTCAACGGGTCTGCTTGGTCAGGTCAACGGGTCTATTTGGTCAGGTCAACGGGTCTGCTTTTTCAGGTCAACGGGTCTGCTTGGTCAGGTCAACGGGTCTGCTTGGTCAGGTCAACGGGTGTGCTTGGTCAGGTCAACGGGTCTGCTTGGTCAGGTCAACGGGTGTGCTTGGTCAGGTCAACGGGTCTGCTTGGTCAGGTCAACGGGTGTGCTTGGTCAGGTCAACGGGTCTGCTTGGTCAGGTCAACGGGTCTGCTTGGTCAGGTCAAGGTGTCCACACAGTCAGACTGTTATTTCAGGTCGCAAATGTCCTTTGGTTGATTATTTTAATTTGTTGTATATACCATAAGTCATCAGAATTAATTTGACATTAGCATTTAAAGACTATATAAAGGCTACTTATTGCACCACCTTATGACATTATTCTGATCATTTATCAAATACTTATGACAGTATTCTGATCACAAAAGTTAATTTGCTTCCCAACATGTAACTGCCTAAAGTATTTTTCAATGTTGTTTTCATATGTGACATTTAACACTTGTACCCCCTTCCTCTCTCTCTCTCCCTATCTACCCTTCTGCCTTCCCTTTTCCCTATCCACTCCATATCCACCGCTTCTTACCTCCCCCCCTTTCTCTCTCTCTCTCTATCTCTCTATCTCTCTATCTCTCTATCTCTCTATCTCTCTATCTCTCTATCTCTCTCTATCTCTCTCTATCTCTCTCTATCTCTCTCTATCTCTCTCTATCTCTCTCTATCTCTCTCTATCTCTCTCTATCTCTCTATCTCTCTATCTCTCTATCTCTCTCTATCTCTCTCTATCTCTCTCTATCTCTCTCTATCTCTCTCTCTCTCTCTCTCTCTCTCTCTCTCTCTCTCTCTCTCTCTCTATCTCTCTCTCTCTCTCTCTCTCTCTCTCTCTCTCTCTCTCTCTATCTCTATCTCTCTATCTCTCTCTATCTATCTCTATCTCTCTCTCTCTCTATCTCTCTCTCTCTCTCTCTCTCTCTCTCTCTCTCTCTCTCTCTCTCTCTCTCTCTCTCTCTCTCTCTCTCTCTCTCTCTCTCTCTCTCTCTCTCTCTCTCATATGACATAGTGATAAGTTTCAGGGATCCAGTTTGTTGTTTCAGGAAGTGTTGAGTGGCGGAGGAGAGACGTGGGGGGAGTGGGGTGACTGGGCCTCCTGCCCCCCCGACACAGCCGTCTGTGGCATCCAGACTAAGGTGGAGCCTTACCTGGGGGTCTCTGGCGACGACACGGCCCTCAACGACGTCCGCTTCTTCTGCTGCCCCACCGTCTGGTAGCTGTCGTCTGGTGCCCGGTTGATGCGACCTCCTTCTGCTGCTCCGTCGTCTTAATCTTAATATTTCTTTGTCTTATTGCTGAGGCTTCGCGATGTAATGGTGGCCATCTCCTGCTGCTGCTGTTGCCGAGGCTTCAGGGATGTAGCTGACATCTTCTGCTGAGGTTTCAGCGATCAAGTAGCTATCTTCGTTATGCTATTTCCGAGGCGTCAGGGATCTGCAAGGTGATGTCTTTTGCTGAGGCATCAGGGATCTAGTAGCGGCCGACTTTTGCTGTTGCTGAGGCTTCAGAGATCTAGTAGCTGCCTTCTCCTGCTGGTGCAGCTGAATCAGCCGTTAGCTGCTGTCTACAGCCGTTGCTGTTGTTGATCTCAGCATTCAAGTCAACTGGCCTTGTTGTTTTCACAGTGCCCTTTTCGGTTCGCTTGTATTTCCCGGGCGGCACATGAAGACCGCCTCGCTTGAAAATAAAATATAATTGATCAATGAGATCTAGTATTTTTCCTAACCTCATCTGGCCTATCATTACCGTGAAGGGTAGTATCGAAAACTAGATTGACATGGGGACGTAAATGTATTAGTGGGGTAACTATCGAATTTATGAATTAACTATTGGAGACCTGTCGTGTGGGGGCTCATCTTAGAATGCTCATCTTAGGGTGCTCAGCTTAGGAGGCTCAGCCTAGGGTGCTCATCTTTGAGTTCTCATCTCAGGGTGCTTATCTTTGAGTTCTCATCTCAGGGTGCTCATCTTTGAGTTCTCATCTCAGGGTGCTTATCTTTGAGTTCTCATCCCAGGGTGCTCATCTTTGAGTTCTCATCCCAGGGTGCTCATCTTTGAGTTCTCATCTCAGGGTGCTCATCTTTGAGTTCTCATCTCAGGGTGCTCATCTTTGAGTTCTCATCTCAGGGTGCTCATCTTTGAGTTCTCATCTCAGGGTGCTCATCTTTGAGTTCTCATCTCAGGGTGCTCATCTTTGAGTTCTCATCTCAGGGTGCTCATCTTTGAGTTCTCATCTCAGGGTGCTCATGTTATGGTAATCATCTCAGGGTGCTCATCTCAGGGTGCCCAGTGAGACGGGTACGAGAGGTGGTAATGTCTCCCTCAGACGTGACATTCTTTGTTGTTCAAGTGAGCGTCTGTGAAGGATTGCCATGAATAGCCAAAATTATATGGAGTACTCCCAGGGCACTAATTATATGGAGTATTCCCAGGGCACTAATTATATGGAGTACTCCCAGGGCACTAATTATATGGAGTACTCCCAGGGCACTAATTATATGGAGTACTCCCAGGGCACTAATTATATGGAGTACTCCCAGGGCACTAATTATATGGAGTACTCCCAGGGCACTAATTATATGGAGTACTCCCAGGGCACTAATTATATGGAGTACTCCCAGGGCACTAATTCAACATATGTCCTTTCAACTAGATTTGAGGAAATATCAGTTTAAATCTAGAAATAAATTTAGTCCCTTTCTAAGATGGAAAATCATACATTCATGCGTGTGTGTGTACCCTATACACATGTATATATGTATGTATGTATGTATGTATGTATGTATGTATGTATGTATGTATGTATGTATGTATGTATGTATGTATGTATGTATGTACATTCTTTTCGAACGAAAAGACAATAGGTTCGTCGAGGCAATGGATAGATAATTATGATCCAACCAGAGATAAAATAACCTTAACATAGATAAATTCATGCTAAATAATGTATAATATATGTGCATAAATATTGGTACAGTAATGTCTTCTCCCACATATAATAACATAGGATAAAAAACCACACGTGTATTTGTGAAATTATATAAGGAATTTACACCAAGTCTTTCACACTCTCCTGAGAGTTTTGTCAAGGTCTGAGTGTGTGATTAGAACGAGACTTATATCTCAACGTCTAATGAGGCTGCTATCTAAGAAGGATAAGAGGACTGAACCCAAGATAGCAGCCTCATTAGACGTTGAGATGTAAGTCTCGTCCTAACCACACACTCAGACCTCTAACAAAGCACTCAGGAGAGTGCGAAAGACTAGGTGTAAATTCCTTACATAAATTTCACAAATACACAAGTGTGGATTTTTATCCCGTGTATGTGCATCTTAATAGTAGTCCGCGAGGTATATTAATACACACGAGTTACAATAATTATCAGTCTCGTCAAATTCAAGAGTGGACAGACAGCTATTATAACTTTACACTTTTGTGACGATCTTAAATGAATTACATAAAGATCAATTAGTAAAAGTGGATTACTATTAGCAGTACAAACTACTTAAGCCAAAGAAATTGATTCCTGGTAGCCGGATATAGGAACACGCCAGGTCTCTTACTTAACAAGATTTTCGGTCTTAAATGCCTACCTTAATCCCGACGTAGCCGCCACGAAGATGGTAAGAATAAAAACGTTCCTAAGTACTTGCGTAACTGCTTCGTGAATCTGGCCCAAGATACAACAAATAATTCTTAGTTAAACCCTAAAGATTTTGCTAACCCGGTCAGTCAATATAGTTACCTAAACCAATAAGAGTATTCTTTCACACCCAGCCAGTTATCCTGGAGTAGTGAGGAAACATTACACATACACAGGACTTCATTCAGAGTCTAGATGGCTTTGTTTTGTCTCCCACTCTTCAAAAATATTAAGTTAGGTAGATATATATATATAGTTAAATGGGCAGTTTAACTGTATCTTCACTGGTATAACAGAGAGGAGCGGTTATCTGTGAGGCAAGACACTCAAAAGTATGTTAGTGCAAATTGTTTATTGTTGCCTTCTTATCCGTTAACATACTGCGAGTTAACTCAAACCTGCAGTAACCTTATTTAAAACTGCTACAGTTATATATAAGTGACATGTTTTCTGGCCGAATTATAAAAGTAGACAATGTCTCTCTGAGGGAGATTTTTGTGAGTGAAAGACGGTCAGGTGGGCGGAGCAAGGTACAAGTACTCGTATATGAGCCAGGTACAAGTACTCGTATATGAGCCAGGTACAAGTACTCGTATACGAGCCAGGTACAAGTACTCGTATACGAGCCAGGTACAAGTACTCGTATACGAGCCAGGTACAAGCACTCGTATACGAGCCAGGTACAAGTACTCGTATACGAGCCAGGTACAAGCACTCGTATACGAACCAGGTACAAGCACTCGTATACGAGCCAAGTACAAGCACTCGTATACGAGCCAGGTACAAGCACTCGTATACGAGCCAAGTACAAGCACTCGTATACGAGCCAGGTACAAGCACTCGTATACGAGCCAGGTACAAGCACTCGTATACGAGCCAGGTACAAGCACTCGTATACGAGCCAGGTACAAGCACTCGTATTCGAGCCAAGTACAAGCACTCGTATACGAGCCAGGTACAAGCACTCGTATACGAGCCAGGTACAAGCACTCGTATACGAGCCAGGTACAAGTACTCGTATACGAGCCAGGTACAAGCACTCGTATACGAGCCAGGTACAAGTACTCGTATACGAGCCAGGTACAAGTACTCGTATACGAGCCAGGTACAAGTACTCGTATACGAGCCAGGTACAAGTACTCGTATATGAGCCAGGTACAAGTACTCGTATATGAGCCAGGTACAAGTACTCGTATACGAGCCAGGTACAAGCACTCGTATACGAGCCAGGTACAAGTACTCGTATACGAGCCAGGTACAAGTACTCGTATACGAGCCAGGTACAAGCACTCGTATACGAGCCAGGTACAAGTACTCGTATACGAGCCAGGTACAAGCACTCGTATACGAGCCAGGTACAAGTACTCGTATACGCGCCAGGTACAAGCACTCGAATACGAGCCAGGTACAAGTACTCGTATACGAGCCAGGTACAAGTACTCGTATACGAGCCAGGTACAAGCACTCGTATACGAGCCAGGTACAAGTACTCGTATACGAGCCAGGTACAAGTACTCGTATACGAGCCAGGTACAAGCACTCGTATACGAGCCAGGTACAAGCACTCGTATACGAGCCAGGTACAAGCACTCGTGTACGAGCCAGGTACAAGCACTCGTGTACGAGCCAGGTACAAGCACTCGTGTACGAGCCAGGTACAAGCACTCGTATATCTCCTTTAACTCAAGCTAAGTTAGTTATTTAAAGCAAAATCCCTACGACGGGATTTATATACATAAAAAATATATTGGGACATTTAATTTGTCCAAAAGAACCAGTAGAGTATATAAATATATAGGGTGACTGATTGGTCCCTAGTTTGATTCCCACCCAGGTTGAGCCTTTTTGGCACGTTGTCTTACACCTACTGCACCTGTTCACCTAATAGTAAATAGGAGTTACGTAAGTGCAGTGGTTTACAAACTAGTAAAGGCCAGTCGTTGGCAAGAGGAAGCTCGATAAGCCTATCAGGCTTAAAAGGAAGCCGAAGGCTAAAATGAACGAGTTTGTGTGTGTACTCACCTAGTTGTACCCACCTAGTTGTGCTTACGGGGTTTGAGCTCTGGCTCTTTGGTCCCGCCTCTCAACTGTCAACCAACAGGTGTACAGATTCCTGAGCCTAATGGGCTCTATCATATCTACATTTGAAACTGTGTATGGAGTCAGCCTCCACCACATCATTACTTAATGCATTCCATTTACTAACTACTCTGACACTGAAAAAATTCTTTCTAATGTTTCTGTAGCTCATTTGGGTACTAAGTTTCCACATGTGTCCTCTTGTTCGTGTTCCACCCGTGCTGAAGAGTTTGTCTTTGTCCACCCTGTCAATTACCCTGAGAGTTTTGTAAATGGTTATCAGGTCTCCCCTTACTCTTCTGTTTTCCAGGGATGTTAGGTTAAGCTCCCGTAGCCTTTCATCGTAGCTCATACCTCTCAATTTCGGGACTAGTCTGGTGGCATACCTCTGAATCTTCTCTAACTTTATCTTGTGTTTAACTAGGTATGGACTCCCGGCTGGAGCTGCATACTCCAGGATAGGTCTGACATAGGTGGTATACAAGATCCTGAACGATTCCTTACACAAGTTTCTAAAGGCAGTTCTTATGTTGGCAGTCTAGCATATGCCGCTGATGATATTCTTTTGATGTGGGCCTCTGGGGGGACAGGTTCGGTGTGATATCAACCCCCCCAGATCTTTCTCTCTGTTTGACTCTTGCAGGATATCACCTCCCAGATGGTACCTTGTGTTCAGCCTCCTGCTCCCTTCACCTAATTTCATTACTTTACACTTTCCTGAGTTGAACTTTAGTAGCCATTTTCTAGACCATTCCACCAGTTTGTCCAGGTCTCGTCCTGTAGTCTATCTTCATCTGTCTTGATTCTTCTCATAATCTTTGTATCATCAGCAAACATTGAGACGAATGAGTCTATACCCTATATCTATGCATGACGTCAGTTGTGGTGTTGTCGGACTCATTACTCACTACTCACTCTTAATGCCTGACTGGTGATACGTTCCTTGCAGCCTTATACACCAACCTCACAACTCACCTCTTCACAT